AAAATAATTCTGACACTTAAAATGCAATAACTTCACTTCCAATAGGTAAAATGTCATGAAGTTTTTACTGGAAGTCGATAAAGGATAGCAGATTTTAACGCACTAGTCGACATATAGATGGCGCCACTAGAGTTTACTTTGTTACTTTTGTACTGTTTATTTTGGAACGCACCTTGTAGGAGCATTTAGCTCTGGTCGGAGAATGGCTAGCCAACTGGCGAATAAATGTAAATGACTTATCTTGGCATTTATTTAGACAGAAGGTTCACTTGGAGAAATCATATACTTAAGTATCCAGCAAATTAACTAGCGTGAAAATAAGAGCTCCAAATTTAGACTGACTTTTAAATAAAAATTCTAAACGTAACCTTGACAACAAAGTTATGTTATACAATGCGGTAATAAAGAAATTTTGGATGTTACTGTGGGATGCCACCTGTGCAATTAACATTGATATAATACCGAGGTTCCAGTCAAAAATTCTTAGAGCTATAACGGGCTCGCCATGGTAAATTCGAATTGAAAAATATTCACACAGATCTGGGTATTCCTATGGTAAAGAAAGAAGTAAAGGAGAGCAGAAAGAACCATGAACCTAAATTAGGTAGTTATCCAAACTCATTTACTAATGCCTTGCTACGGTCCAGTAATCAAACCCGTTTACAAAAAAAAAAATCTACCAGCCTTCGAAAGAGCAACGAATAATCAACTAGAATCTCGAGTTGGTTTAATTTCAAATAAGTTTAAAATTATTGCTTATATTTAGGCTTTGAACAAGCATATTCAATAAATAAAAGTATTTTAACAAAAAAAAAAGTGTGCGAACTGTTTTACCTTCACCTTTATTTTTGTATCGGAGGTGATAGAATTTTTGCGCTTTTGATAAGAATGTTTTATGTAAACGGCTGTAAACATTTCCCGGAAGGACGGCTATTGTTCATAACCTCCATGAAATATTTCTGTGTCACATGCGGGAAATCCTATATCTCAGTAACTATCTACTTGACCGATTTCAACTTAATTTGGTGTATGAGGTTAGCCACACATTCCTATAATACACTGTTAAAATGGTGACAGTAAAAATAAAGAAAGTTGCAAAATTATATATTATAAAACAGTTATTATATCAATAATATCAAAAGGCATATATGTTTTAAATTTCATGCGGATATCTTAATAACTGACGAATAAATTTATTTTAATTCTTTAAGATAAACTTTGCCTTAAAAATCGCTGGCTCGAAACCGGTTTCAGACCCATAGTGTTTAAGGCGTGGTTGTTCATGAATGAACCGTAGAACCTTTTCCGCATATGAGATTTTATAGAAAACAATGTAAGGAAGGGCTAAGTTCGGATGTAACCGAACATTTTATACTCTCGCAAAGTCAAATGCTATACTCGTTTTAAATTTCTTTGTGGATCTAGCCGCCTTGTTCTTGTTGACCGATATTTTCGGTAAAAAGTCAACTACAGGCACTGGGCTCCACATATTCAGTACCTAGAGGCTTTAACAGTTTATTGCTTGATTTGCATACTGGAAAGTGAAAAAAATTTGATTAAATTCAAAATGATGCTATGTGGGAAATAGGCGTGGTTGTAATCCGATTTCGCCCATTTTCGTACTATAATATAGAAATATGAGAAGAATATTATGTACGGAATTTGGTTGAAATCGGTTAAGCAGATCCCAAGATATGGGTTTACCCCTAAAAGTGGCGGTGCCACGCCCACTGTCTAATTTTGAACGTGGTTCCTATAAAATCATCTTATACCATTCGAGAGATAAAGTTTCATATATCTGGCTTGATTAGCGCTTGATTTATCGCGCTTTTAGTAGTTTTTAGCAGTACCGTTATATGGGGAGTGGGCGGTTTTGTCACCCGATTTCACCCATTTTCACGATGTAGATAAAGGTGCCAAAACAGTCAGTAAAAAGTCAACTACAGGCACTGGGGTCCACATATTTAGTACCTAGAGGCTTGAACAGTTTGTTGCTTGATTTGCATACTGGAAAATGAAAAAATAAGAATAAATTCAAAATGATGTTATATGGGAAATAGGCGTGGTTGTAATCCGATTTTGCCCATTTTCGTACTATAATATAGAAATATGAGAAGAATATTATGTACTGAATTTGGTTGAAATCGGTTAAGCAGATCCCAAGATATGGGTTTTCCCCTAAAAGTGGCGGTGCCATGCCCACTATCTAATTTTGAACGTGGTTCCTATAAAATCATCTTATACCATCCGAGAGATAAAATTTAATAGCTCTGGCTTGTTTAGCGCTTGATTTATCGCGCGTTTAGTAGTTTTTAGCAATACCGTTATATGGGGAGTGGGCGGTTTTGTCACCCGATTTCACCCATTTTCACGATGTAGATAAAGGTGCCAAAACAGTCAGTAAAAAGTCAACTACAGGCACTGGGGTCCACATATTTAGTACCTAGAGGCTTGAACAGTTTGTTGCTTGATTTGCATACTGGAAAATGAAAAAATAAGAATAAATTCAAAATGATGTTATATGGGAAATAGGCGTGGTTGTAATCCGATTTTGCCCATTTTCGTACTATAATATAGAAATATGAGAAGA